TCGCTATTATTGGGTCGGATGAGCTGCTAACTTAGACTACCGTGAGAAACCAACACTTCTTGTGCTCGGTGTTTCATTTAATGTGCATACCCCGTACAATACAAACCAATAATAGCCATGTGAAACTATGATCATTTGTTAAACAGTTTTTATCTTAAGTTGAATATAATTGTAAGATTTTAATGTTCAATCGGCAAGGTAAAGTTATGAGGATTTGCTATCTTAATTTCACTTTATTTGGTTTACTTTTTTGTTTAAAGTGAAATTCATCAGTACGTTTTCACTGCAAACATACTATAAACATTGATATTCATGCTGTGTCATCTTCTGTTTGTCAAGTCATCAACATCCTCACATAATCTTTGATCAACAGCAGCAGCTCTTCAAGTGAACAGCACTTCCACTACACTAATGCATCAAAAGTGATGTTTCTTGGGCACATTTACTCAAAATTATTAGGGAATTATTTTGCTCTTTATTTTTGTATTTGACTTCTAAGTGGTGAAGAAGGAGCATATGTTTTTTTTACTACCAGGAATAGAGTAAAACATGGGCAACCAATTTGTACTTTAACCTTAATATCTTATGTCTTAATAGTCTCAATTTCAGGCATGACTCATGAATTGTTTTAAATATGTTCGATAATTATTATTTATGATTGTTTTCAAATAATTTACTGGGATGTATTTCGTATTGCTGTTTTGTTTGTTTGTTTGTTTGTTTGTTTGTTTGTTTGTTTGTTTGTTTGTTTGTTTGTTTGTTTGTTTTGTTTTGTTTGTTTGTTTTTGTAGTCTTTTAAGGTTCTGTGTTTGTTTTCCTAAATACGAAGTGTTATTGTTTAATGTTTGTTTTGTAACAGTTTCAAGCTAACACTTCAGCCATAGTGGGGGGGAAACCTATGGCTATGAGTCACATTATAAGGGCATGGTATGTGCAAGAAGTTGATTTCCAATGTTGAAACAAAATTTGGTTGAGAAATCATTTCTTAGTTTTATTCATTTTTTTTAATTAGTAACGTCAATGGGCAATTTAAGGTGTGGGTTGGTCATGATAATGATCATTCTGATACAACAATTCCATGTACCCTCATGATAATGGTCATTCTGATACAACAATTCCATGTACCCTCATGTAATGATCATTTGATTGAAAATGCGCTCTGATTTCACGGGCGCTTCACTCGCGACGTGATACAACCCTGCCGCGACTACTTCAGCTTGGCCACTAACATGACTAACATCAACACAACAGACGTGATGGAAATACTGATGAAACATTTATTAAAACTCGAAAAATACAATTATACGATTTCTCCACCACAATTATTAGGGGACCTCACTATCATAATTATTACCTTCTATTATAAAACTATTCAAACTCAATTACAATACACAGCCCCACACATAAACAAACAATATCTAACATATAAATCAGAAAAACCTTTGTAACAATACATCCCTATCTATCCCTATTTGTGCGGCAAAACGCTTTGTAAACATTAACCTACCGATAAATGGTATATTTGTTTCCCTTTAGAATGGGAAATTCACAAGATAATGGTCAGGCGAAACACCAAATTTGCCACTCATACTCCATCATGTCCCGCTGCATCGCTCAAAATGTCAAAACGTAACCATGAGAATTTAGTTCTCTTCAACCTTCCCCGAAGGCTGTTACTGCAGCTATGTTCGTACACTTTGAAAAGCTTGGCCACAATCCAGTCCCAAATGACGAGAACAATGATCCAAGGAATCCCAAGTTAGTCGAAGGTACACAAAGCAGCAGTACTGTCACTCTTCCTCGCATGCCGGGTGGCGGCATCGCGACGTTGAAATCATGATCGACGTCACGCCCGGTCATAAAATTAACAGTCTTTGATGACTTACGGGTCATAGGTCGATCAGAAAAGGATCTATTCTTCGATTCTGCAGGGTTCAGGTTCGACAGTCAGTCAAGTATTTTCCACTGTCACTTCGAATTTCAACCTTTCATGAAATGTAAACACTGGCTCGTCCCGCCATTTCAAACTGTTATTCGCGTAACTATATAACAAGTTTTATGGATAACAACTTTTTATTTTCGTGGAGTGCGACGCTTCGATACAGATTCTTGTACCGTTGTCAAGCAAGAGTGATACATGAAGTGTAGGAGCTGCATATATATACTGTATATAACAAATGAAACAACATAATAGACAAAGGAAACAACATAATTGCCATGATTGGCTAAGCAGTAAGCTGATGAAGCCAGTAAGTACATAAAGGATAGTGAATGGAAGCCAGAGATGTAGTTACAATGAGATGTTTATACAATGGATGGGTTTATACAATAGACTGGGCTTGGTGGAGGAGTGGATCATAAGCAGATGGAATGAAGCATCCTTGGTCACGGTTGATGGTAGGCTTGTATTTGATGAATGGCTTCTGTGAGCTTATGCTTAGTGAAGTCCGCTTTGGTTGTTGGCTTAGAATGGTGATGTCGGACCACTCTATTTGATGATTGGGGTTGGCTTTGATGTGGTCAGAGATAGCTGATTTGGTGTCGGAATTAGCAACAGAGGTGCCATGTTCTTTGACTCGGGTGTTGATGGGTCGGGATGTTGTGCACAATGCTACATTTTAAATAAGTTATAGAATGGAGATAAGCGTATTGTGTTTAGAATTAGATGAATGTTAGATCGAATTGATAGTCTCTAATTAATCATTTGAAACCCTCACGCTACACGCTGCGGCTTCAAATGAAATTTAGAGACTATCAATTCGGCCTAACATTCATCTAATTTCCAAACACAGTACGCTTATCTCCTAAATCATAGTTTCGAATCGCTATTATTGGTTTGTGTTACAAGGGGGTAAGCGCAGTAGTTGGAACAGTGAAACAAATGCAGGTGTGGTGCGTGATGAGCGTTAACTTAGACTACCGTAGAAACCAACACTTCTTGTGCTCGGTGTTTCATTTAATGTGCATACCCCGTGCAATACAAACCAATAATAGCCATGTGAAACTATGATCATTTGTTAAACAGTTTTTATCTTAAGTTGAATATAATTGTGAGATTTTAATGTTCAATCGGCAAGGTAAAGTTATGAGGATTTGCAATCTTAATTTCACTTTATTTGGTTTACTTTTTTGTTTAAAGTGAAATTCATCAGTACGTTTTCACTGCAAACATACTATAAACATTGATATTCATGCTGTGTCATCTTCTGTTTGTCAAGTCATCAACATCCTCACATAATCTTTGATCAACAGCAGCAGCTCTTCAAGTGAACAGCACTTCCACTACACTAATAAGGCTGCATCAAAAGTGATGTTTCTTGGGCACATTTACTCAAAATTTTTAGGGAATTATTTTGCTCTTTATTTTTATATTTGACTTCTAAGTGGTGAAGAAGGAGTATATGTTTTGTTTACTACCAGGAATAGAGTAAAACATGGGCAACCAATTTGTACTTTAACCTTAATATCTTATGTCTTAATAGTCTCAATTTCAGGCATGACTCATGAATTGTTTTAAATATGTTCGATAATTATTATTTATGATTGTTTTCAAATAATTTACTGGGATGTATTTCGTATTGCTGTTTTGTTTGTTTGTTTGTTTGTTTGTTTGTTTGTTTGTTTGTTTGTTTGTTTGTTTTGTTTTGTTTGTTTGTTTGTTTGTTTTTGTAGTCTTTTAAGGTTCTGTGTTTGTTTTCCTAAATACGAAGTCTTATTGTTTAATGTTTGTTTTGTAACAGTTTCAAGCTAACACTTCAGCCATAGTGGGGAAACTATGGCTATGAGTCACATTATAAGGGCATGGTATGTGCAAGAAGTTGATTTCCAATGTTGAAACAAAATTTGGTTGAGAAATCATTTCTTAGTTTTATTCATTTTTTTTAATTAGTAACGTCAATGGGCAATTTAAGGTGTGGGTTGGTCATGATAATGATCATTCTGATACAACAATTCCATGTACCCTCATGATAATGGTCATTCTGATACAACAATTCCATGTACCCTCATGATAATGATCATTCCTCATGATAATAATGATCATTCTGATACGACAATTCCATGTACCCCATGATAATGATCATTCTGATACATAATGTACCCTCATGATAATGATCATTCTGATACAACAATTCCATGTACCCTCATGATAATGATCATTCTGATACAACAATTCCATGTACCCTCATGATAATGATCATTCTGATACGACAATTCCATGTACCCTCATGATAATGATCATTCTGATACAACAATTCCATGTACCCTCATGATAATGATCATTCTGATCAATTTCATGTACCCTCATGATAATGATCATTCTGATACGACAATTCCATGTACCCTCATGATAATGATCATTCTGATACACAATTCCATGTACCCTCATGATAATGATCATTCTGATAATGATCGACAATTCCATGTACCCTCATGATAATGATCATTCTGATACGACAATTCCATGTACCCTCATGATAATGATCATTCTGATACGACAATTCCATGTACCCTCATGATAATGATCATTCTGATACGACAATTCCATGTACCCTCATGATAATGATCATTCTGATACAACAATTCCATGTACCCTCATGATAATGATCATTCTGATACGACAATTCCATGTACCCTCATGATAATGATCATTCTGATACAACAATTCCATGTACCCTCATGATAATGATCATTCTGATACAACAATTCCATGTACCCTCATGATAATGATCATTCTGATACGACAATTCCATGTACCCTCATGATAATGATCATTTATTTAAATCTGATACAGCAATTCCATGTGCCCTGATGATGTGTGTTATTGATCTGGACTTGTTTTCTTCAAGCCACTGCCATATTTTGTAGAATTTTTAACAACAAACACACACATACTTCCTGTTTTCATGTTGAACTTTGTCAGTGTGTGAAACTGTATGTAAATGTTCTTGTGAGATAATGGAATATGCTTCAGCTAATATGTGTTTTCGTCTTTCCGCTAGTCTCGTAAATCGCACATGGTAAGTTGGGTCACCAATCAGTCCGTAGTGACTCTCCCCCTCTGTATCTGTCCCCATGCATGGCATAGATGTCCATCTGTCTCTCTACCATTACAACAAATGATGGTCACTTTCGTTTGGAAATAGAACATTGGCACCATTTCAAAACCCTCAAGTTGCTAAACAAATTCTGAAAGAAATCTCACCATTTCAACCATTCAAATATTGAAATTATGTTATATATTTTTTTAAAAACTTTGTTTCATTTAAAACAGTATTTGAATATTATTACTTCATAAATTTGATAATTTTAAAAATAATATACAAAAGCATGGGTGGCTTTCAGTAACAAACACGTTTGCCAGTTGCAAACACGTTTAATTTTGCTGCAGTTTCCAAATGAAAAGTGGCCACATCAATATGAAATTTCTATACACAAACACGATGCCAGATATATATGTTTTGCAGTAATCAGAAGAGTCGATTAATAGTATTTGTTTAATTTCAAAATCCCAGGAGAGGAGTAGAATCATAATGCTAATTCCATATCGCAATGATATCAAATTAAGAAATGATTCATTGTTGAAAATATTTCCTTGCTTTAAGATGAAAACTTGTATGTCAGTGTATGCTGGTTTGATCAATGTTTGAATCGCTGAATCTTTACAAGGACTATAGATTGATCCTCAATTGTAATTCTATGATTCAGTGATGCAGCTGTTAGTGTGAATCATATACTACTCAAAGTTTGCTAAGGATCACTGTCAAAGATAAAGTGTCAAATTGAGTGACTGTTGAAGTAGCCAAAGATCAATTGTGAAAAGACATGTTTAGGGAACATGTTATGTACCAACAACCAACATTTGACCAACAATCAGTCAGTTCATCCATCAAAATGAGAGCATCGGACCACAACAGAAATGTCCACAAAGGCACAAATACAAATCGATTGCCCTCATCCAAAACTTTCATTGTGATCTACAAGATGTGTTCACAGGACCATGTTCACAACCTAACACCATTGTCTCATGCTTCCACTAATTGTCTGGTTGCCAAGGCAATATTGTTTCACTCTTCAGTAAGAGCATTGCAGAGTTCTGTAGTGTTGCTAGAAGGACACAGCAATCTGCAGCTTGTTCCACAAGTGTTCAATAGGGTTACGGTCTGATGACTGTAATGGCCTCACTATGTGGACAGTGGTCTCCTGAAGTACAATGACCCTGGTACAATAAAGTAGTGCTTTACCATCTATGAGGTCAGTATTTTAACCCAGTTTCTGGCATGCCTGTGTACCTGCCTCATTCTTTGGTCATCAGACAATGACTTTGATGTTGAGGGGGCAAAATTGTAATCAGTTGTTGCCATCCTCTGTTGCAAATGTTTTTGTGCTCTCTGATAATGATGTACCACAACTCTGTCGCAATACACTAGCATTAAGGATTCTGAGCTCCTTCATGCCCACGACTGCATGCCACTATTTATTCAACATGAAACCAAGATCCTAGATGGGTTATCCAATTATTGAGTTCCAGGATATGTCAGTTTTAATTGCTGGATGATTTTGTTTACATCATCAAACCTTGATCCTTAGCAAACTTTGAGTAGTATATAGAATGACAATTGAGGATATTCAGTTAATCAGAATAAAATGATTTCAGGTTGTTCATTTTTTGCAGCTTGAAATACCAATATTTATGAACAAGAATTTAACATTTATATCATGAAATGTATGAAATGTGTACTTTTGTAATGATAACAGCATTGCACTCTCTTCTCTCTCTCTTACAGTCTTCTATACACCACCAGGTACTTTTCTTTCACTTCAAGATTGATTTTCTCAAAGCTTACATCCCTTCTAAACCTGTATAGCTTAAATCTCTCTGGGTGGTATCACTTACTTCCTGAATACATGCTATCTCCGAAGTCAAGCTCTTGCAAATGCTTGCCGGGTATAACTTGGTCCACGGTCAAAGGGAGGTAACCCTAACAGCTGACGTGAACAACCAACAAGAAATATTCATAACAAGAGGCATTATTCCTGGTTGAAAAAATATGAAAATCATAACCAAATGTTTTTCAAAATACAAAAATGGATTGTACATGTTGCACAGATACTTTTCTTGTTTAGTTGTTTAGTATAATACTATTAGGCAGTTCCCATATAGAAAAGAATCTTTTAGCCAGCCAGATAGACAATAGTTTAAGCATAGAGTAATTTAGCTGTAGCAGTGTCTCAGTGTTAAGAACATTATTTTGTCTCTATTTGTAAAGGGATATTATCTAGTTTTAGAGAACATGGTAATCCTATCACTAAATAAACATCATTGCTTTAAGCCAGTTATGTAAAGTTGTCTCACAAAATTGCTTTACCCAAAATTAACATTTTGTAATGTTTGTCAAAATGATAGTAAATAAAACTTTTAATATTTTCATAAGCTCTGCTCACAACAAGCACAAAATTTTAATATGTTATTTGACAACCCAGCTTAAGCAAGAATCATGTTTTGATGGACAAGGAAGTTTATGATAGTGTTGTTAAAACATTACTCATGATTTTCTTGTAAGCAATAACTGTTTTGATTAGATAGTAGAACTGATTGTGATAGCTGGTGTTCCAAATGGGAATTTTGAAAATTGGTTCTGAGGCATTCACCTTGGAACATTGATGTTTGGCACATTCATTTACTTTTTGCAAGGACTGCTACCAAATAGGTATGTAAATTGATGGAAGTGCAGTGTGGCACAGGAGTTGCTTCCCTTGGTTGTGCCAGAATCTGAAAATTATGGTTTGTAAGCCCTGATTACATTACTTAGTTTGTACTACTCTACTCCCACTCATGTTGTAATAACACAACAGGTTTATATTTACATAGTACATCAGATTCCAGTGACCAGTCTAAATATGTCATGTATACAGTCGAGCACCGTTGTGTCGAACTCTGATAACTCAATACCTCAGTTGTCTCGATATAACATCTCGGTCCAGGCAAATTCATTCATAATTTATCATTATTCAAGCTCTTTTAACTCGATACGAATGTATCAATATTTTGGATATATAATTTCATGGTCCCAACAAGCAAAATTACCCTTTTAACTCAATATTTGCAAAGAAACTTCGCTATTCACCAACCTTTCATGGGCAAGTATCCGTCTAAACTGAGGCTGTTTCCACACGTTTAAAAACAGTGTGGCATGAATCAAAGGGATGAGGTAGTGTAAACTAATTGAATTGAAGGTGTCACTTGTTAGTTATTTAATTAGGATTAATTAAGAAGGAATTAATTAGGAAGTACTCACCATTACAACTAAACACAACTGATAACATATTATAGTTTCGAATCAAAACATTTTGAGAAGCGTTTTGTTTTCTTCATAGTCATATGTTGATATGCCCAGTCGGATCTCTCGAAGTTCGGATAACTCGATATTTTTTCTTGGTCCCATGAATATCGAGACAACGGAGCTCGACTGTATTTTCTGTTGCTAAGACTGCCAGTTCAAACAAGCATACTCCCTAAACACTAGCTCATTAATACTGGGTTGTCAATGATTATTTTTTTGTTTTGAAATTTATTATTTAATGAAAATGTCACAACACAATGAATTTCATTTGTTTCCTTAAGGATTTTTTTTTTTTTTTTTTACTTTTGCCAAAAACACATATGATCAGGCATTATGTGTACACTGCACTACGCTTCATGTCTGTTGTGCTAGGCACAGCTTCACTCAGGAACTGTTGTGACTCTGCACAACCCTATTGAATTACTACCCTTGGCCTGAAAGAGCAGTTCATATCAGAATACAGTTAGGCAAAAATCTCAAATGTATGATATCAAATCTGTAAATATTTTACATTGAACTCTTTAAGACATATTTTCATATATGCAAAATGGTATGTGGATAATTGTAACATCTATTTTACATTTATGAAAGCTTTCACTACTTCGACAGAAGACAGATCTCATTTTTGGCATTTGATTTAAGAAATGAACATGTAATAGATTCCGTGGATCGATGTGTTTTAATGTATGGGTCACAGAGTCACAGCACCTGATGATGCACATGTTGCACCTGGCCATACTAATGCACCTTCATATTAATAGCCAAGTGCATGTTCGGTTGATTAGTGGGATGCAAATGTTGACTCTACTCTTCTTCTCTGTAGGAGTCATCTAAGCTTAGCCACGGGCATAGCAGAGCAACGCACTCTGGATCATCTGCCTGTCAAGAAGGAGAACTCTATCTCATCTATATGTAAAGATTCAGAGGGTGAGTGGGTGGGTGGGTTGATGGATGAATGAATGGATAGTCAGTGGATGGATGGATAGATCTGAGTGGATAAGTGTACTGATGAGTAGGTGGGTGTTGGATAGTGAGTAGGTGGTGGATGGGAGGTAGATGAGTGGATGGATGATGAGTAGATGTGGATGGATGATGAGTAGATGTGGATGAGAGGTTGATTAGTAGATGGGTGGTTGTATGATAAGGGGGTGGTGGATGATGAGTAGATGTGGATGGATGATGAGTAGATGGTGGATGAGAGGTTGATTAGTAGATGGGTGGTTGTATGATGAGTAGATGATGGATGGATGATGAGTAGATGGTGGTGGATGATGAGTAGAAGGTGGTGGATGATGAGTAGATGTGGATGAGAGGTTGATTAGTAGATGGTGGTGGATGATGAGTAGAAGGTGGTGGATGATGAGTAGATGTGGATGAGAGGTTGATTAGTAGATGGGTGGTTGTATGATGAGTAGATGATGGATGGATGATGAGTAGATGGTGGTGGATGATGAGTAGAAGGTGGTGGATGATGAGTAGATGTGGATGAGAGGTTGATTAGTAGATGGGTGGTTGTATGATGAGTAGATGATGGATGGATGATGAGTAGATGGTGGTGGATGATGAGTAGAAGGTGGTGGATGATGAGTAGATGATGTGGATGAGAGGTTGATTAGTAGATGGTGGGATGGATGATGAGTAGAAGATGGGGATGGATGATGAGTAGATGTGGATGAGAGGTTGATTAGTAGATGGGTGGTTGTATGATGAGTAGACGGTGGTTGTATGATGAGTAGAAGGTGGTGGATGATGAGTAGATGTGGATGAAGGGTTGATTAGTAGATGGGTGGTTGTATGATAAGGGGGTGGTGGATGATGAGTAGATGGTGGATGAGAGGTTGATTAGTAGATGGGTGGTTGTATGGATAAGGGGGTGGGGGTGGTGGATGATGAGTAGATGTGGATGGGAGGTTGATGAGTAGATGGTGGATGAGAGGTTGATTAGTAGATGGGTGGTTGTATGATGAGTAGATGATGGATGGATGATGAGTAGATGGTGGTGGATGATGAGTAGAAGGTGGTGGATGATGAGTAGATGTGGATGAGAGGTTGATTAGTAGATGGGTGGTTGTATGATGAGTAGACGGTGGTTGTATGATGAGTAGATGGTGGTGGATGATGAGTAGAAGGTGGTGGATGATGAGTAGATGTGGATGAGAGGTTGATTAGTAGATAGGTGGTTGTATGATGAGTAGATGGTTGGATGATGAGTAGAAGGTGGTGGATGATGAGTAGAAGGTAGTGGATGATGAGTAGATGTGGATGAGAGGTTGATTAGTAGATGGGTGGTTGTATGATAAGGGGGTGGTGGATGATGAGTAGATGTGGATGGGAGGTTGATGAGTAGATGGTGGATGAGAGGTTGATTAGTAGATGGGTGGTTGTATGATGAGTAGATGATGGATGGATGATGAGTAGATGGTGGTGGATGATGAGTAGAAGGTGGTGGATGATGAGTAGATGTGGATGAGAGGTTGATTAGTAGATGGGTGGTTGTATGATGAGTAGACGGTGGTTGTATGATGATGAGTAGAAAGGTGGATGGATGATGAGTAGAAGGTGGTGGATGATGAGTAGATGTGGATGAGAGGTTGATTAGTAGATAGGTGGTTGTATGATGAGTAGATGGTGGATGGATGATGAGTAGACGGTGGTTGTATGATGAGTAGATGGTGGTTGTATGATGAGTAGATGGTGGTTGTATGATGAGTAGAAGGTGGTGGATGATGAGTAGAAGGTGGTGGATGATGAGTAGATGTGGATGAGAGGTTGATTAGTAGATAGGTGGTTGTATGATGAGTAGATGGTGGTTGTATGATGAGTAGATGGTGGTTGTATGATGAGTAGATGGTGGTTGTATGATGAGTAGATGGTGGTTGTATGATGAGTAGATGGTGGTTGTATGATGAGTAGATGGTGGTTGTATGATGAGTAGATGGTGGTTGTATGATGAGTAGATGGTGGTTGTATGATGAGATGATGTGGATGGATGATGAGTAGATGGTGGATGGATGATGAGTAGATGCAGATGGATGATGAGTAGATGGTGGTTGTATGATGAGTAGATGGTGGATGATCTCTTAGTAGGTGAATGGATGGGTAGATATGAGTGTATAGATGGCTTAAATGGGTAGACAGGTAAGTGTATGGATGCATGAGACATTTTCACAAATCGTCATGTGATATTACTCTGAACTGAAAGAAGTGCACGAACATATATTTTTGGTATGTGTTTTGTTCGTTAATGTGTTGAGAACATGATGTGATTATACTTGTGTTTCTATCACATACTTCAGAAGAACAAGATCTGTCCCCACGTGTCCAGCAGCTGACAGATGTACACAAGAGAGCCATACGGTCCATACGCAAGATGAAATATTATGTTGCTCGCAGGAAATTCCGAGAGGCTTTGAGACCGTATGATGTGAAGGATGTCATTGAACAGTACTCTGCTGGGCACATCGATATGCTGGGTAGAATAAAAAACCTGCAAGCAAGGTGAGTGGGAACAGGAAGCACATGAACAAGTGATTATTCTCAGACAGGGATATTTTATATCAGATAGAATTTAAAGAGAAGACAAAACTTTGATACAAGAATGATATGTTTTTTTGTTGGATTGATACTTCATATAATTTTCATCACTATTTTGACTCAATGCTATATGTATTTCTTAAAGATAATTGAATATTCTCAGATAGGGATATTTATAATTGTTTGTGATGAATTATATAAAATCCTACTAAATGTTGTGCTTGAATGGAGACATCTAGAGGCTTGATCTATATTTCAGCCTCCACTGTCACCAAGTAGTTATGACTTGACCTGTGTTTTCAGACTTGACCAGATCCTTGGCAAAGCAGGCAGTAAAAACAAGGATGTGTATGAATCCAAGCAGAGCCTTGCTTCTCGAGTGGTGAAAGTTGAAAGATCAGTAAGTAGTTTTAAGGACACGTAAAACCAGTCACAATGCCTGGTTTGGTTGGAAAAGATGTGTTTTGCAATGATATCAGCGGTAGTTATTGATATAGGTAAGAGGTGCACTCAGATTCGCTGAGATATGATCATACATGTGCATGCACACACAGGCACACCCACCTCTGAGATGTTAGAAAACACCAGTGTCATCAAGAGCACACATGCACACTCACCTCTGAGATGTTAGAAAACACCAGTGTCATCAAGCACACTCATGCACACTCATCTCTGAGGTGTTAGAAAACACCAGTGTCATCAAGCACACTCATGCACACTCATCTCAGAGGTGTTAGAAAACACCAGTGTCATCATGCACACTCATGCACACTCATCTCTGAGGTGTTAGAAAACATCAGTCTCATCATGCACACTCATGCACACTCATCTCTGAGGTTTCAGAAAACACCAGTGTCATCATGCACACCCATCTCTGAGGTGTTAGAAAACATCAGTCTCATCATGTACACACAGGCACACCCATCTCTGAGGTGTTAGAAAACACCAGTGTCATCAAGCACACCCATCTCTGAGGTGTTAGAAAACACCAGTGTCATCAATCACACCCATCTCTGAGGTGTTAGAAAACACCAGTGTCATCAAGCACACCCATCTCTGAGGTGTTAGAAAACACCAGTGTCATCAAGCACACTCATCTCTGAGGTGTTAGAAAACACCAGTGTCATCAAGCACACTCATGCACACCCATCTCTGAGGTGTTAGAAAACACCAGTCTCATCATGCACACACAGGCACACCCACCTCTGACGTGTTAGAAAACATCAGTCTCATCATGCACACACTGGCACACCCATCTCTGAGAAGTTAGAAAACACCAGTGTCATCATGCACACACAGGCACACACACCAGAGAGTGTGTATAAAGAGCTTGCTGAAGGTTAGGAGTACTGCACTTGGGGTTTGTTTTTGTTTTATTGTGGATATGGTTCTGTAGTGGAATATTGGTCACAGAAGTCTGCATCAAGAACCTGAGAAAATTCTCTAGCTCATTCAGCTGAATGAATACCTTGACCGTCATGTAACTTTTCACAAACCTTCAAGACTAGAAGCTATCACTTTAAAGCCTGGAATGCAGTGAAGCATATGTAGCTTTCTTTAACTGTTAGTTTTACTTTCCAGACTGAGGATATAGAAGCCAAACTGGACCTTCTTGTGGACATGTACAAAGAGGATCGCCGAATTCTTTTGCAGTATTTACAAACACAGATGTCCAATCAGACACAGCCAACACCTGCCAATCAAACTAAGCCTAGACCCATATTGGTGGAGAAACAATTCACGAGTGAACCTGCCACGCCTACAAGTCTCAGTCATAATCCTGTGAAACCTATGCAGCGGAATCTTTCAGATTTAAGCCAAAGAATAAAGAAACGTGTCACGTATCGTTGTCTGTCTTTAAATGACCCCCCTCCGAGATTAAAAAATTGCACCAAAAATGTCATGACACCATTTGCAGCATCAGAAAACGTGATGCCCAGTCAAACTCCACCTGCACAGAGTGGCTTGGTGATCGACTGTAAGGGAGATAACTCTTGTACAAAGGGAGATAACTATGGTGATGATGAAGATGATTCTGATGAACAGGAAGAGGAATTCTTTGAAAAAGAGGATAGTCCCAATGGGAAAGAGGACACAACTCCCTTGGAAACAGATCCTTTACTTGGTGAAAGTGGGGATTTAAAGGATAATGTGTCGGAGACAATTCCCATGACCAACCTGTCAGAACCTCTAGGATTAAAGTCTGGTTCTAATTCCACATTCAGTTCAGACATTGATGCTGTGTTTTCCTCACCAGACGATGACAACATGTCACGAAACTTTGATGGAAGGTCTTCTGTGAATGAAGGATATGTTAGCACCGAAATTAATGAGAACACCCTGGACTTTCATATACAGTGTGAAACGTCCCCATCCAAATACAACCATTGCTGAGGATATGTCACTGTGATTCTCTGTACAGGATATGTTCACAGGATATCAAGATATTTCGCCATCATATATGCCTTGTGGATGCAGCCACTGTTTGCTAATTCAGCATTTTCATGGAGCTTCGTCTATATAAACAGTGTACCTCAACTAGCTGTTGTCGTACACTTCGCAACAGATAATGTGAAAATGGGGATGACCAAGAATGGAAATAAAGTTCCTCAAGGGACTGTCTATTTGAAGGAAGTAATATGTAAAACATTATATGACCCATGCATCTTTTTGCAAAACTTTCAGTTGAAGTAATTCTAAGCAGAAAATGGACATTGTTTTATTCATGACATGTTGCGTCACCTTTAATCTGGTTTTAAGAATAAAACACTCATCAGTTGTTACCAAACTTATCAAATAAAGTCACAGAATGGATTTAAACCTAAGTTACCAACCAAATTTAGTAACTTTCACTTTCCATTTGTCGTTGTGTCGTGTGACTATAATTGTGAGTGGTTCCTTCTTCATGGGTTTAAGACATTTGTCAGAAAATATTGACTTACATGATCAACAAACCAAAAGGAGCTCTATTTTGAAAATCTTAAATGGTTACCATGGCAACCATATTAAAACATTCATTTTCATTCTCAGAATTGTACTTTGTTTACAACTAACGATATTTCTTTTATGATGTGTCCTATTTTTAGTATGCTAGTCATGAGAAATTGACAGTAAAAGAGGTTTGTGTAGTCCAGTGAGACCTTCCTAGTCTAGCCAGGACCTGTTAGTGCTAACACTGTTAGGCAGTTAGTGATGACACTGTTATCTTGGACACTGTTATTCCTGATAGTGATGGTCAGCAGGGAATGCCACCTTCTGAGTCCCAGTCTACAAAGCGTTCATGACGTTATGACTTGTCGGAACTCTATAGTTTGTCATAGGTTTACGATTGTCGTAGCGCTACGAACGCTCTGTGGATAGGTTTCTACTGGATTTGAATAAAGTAATGCTCTTATAAATTCATGCTAATGCTTCATATACAATGGATATAAATCTAGCTGGAAATGACAGGCATGACAAATGTAAGGTAATGTACACAATAACTTGTATAACAATAAGTTGTATACTCCCCAGGGAGTTGAGATTGCTAATACGATGTGCAGTTGATATTGACATCCAATGATCGGGGAAAAAATACCAGCGCCTTGAGCGTGCACTAGTGCATGGATATGTGCGCTATATAAATATCCTATAATAATGATAATAATAATGTGTAAGCTGCATTGATGGCATCATGTAGGCATTGACTTTGGTCAACTCTTTCAGCCCAACACTCCTCTCATGCTCACATATTACACCATTAACTCTGGATCACATTGATCTCACCCATTTACACACACAATGATTTCATCATCTAAAGGTGGAATGTTTCAATAGGGCTGGTCCCCATAATGTAGATATGTTGATATGATAGTCTTTGATTCAGTAGTGATATTATCCTTAGATGTTATATGTTCCTTTTTCTTCCTGTCTCCTTGATAATTACATTGTGTATATACATTGTACATGTTTATATCTCCTGATTGTTGTATAGGTTCAGAGCAGATTAACCTGTTCTGCCATCAGATACCCATTTTGATTAAGCAGCATTGGTCTCAGAGAGTCTTGTATGATGTACGTGTTCAGCAGCTTGACCTCAGTGTCAGTTCCAAGGCTTTGGTCCAATCCTCTACATTCAAGCACATATACCACATGTGGTTTCTCCTTGGACAGGGGATTTTCTTCTTGTGAGTTAAGAATGGAAATGAAGTGTATTCTTATCCGATGACAACGGTTTGTATTCTCTGTGCACTGTGCATGATAATATCTAGCATGGAAAAGCGCCATGCCAATATACAATTACATGTCATATACAAAATCAAAGATATAGTCAAATCTTGAATTGTATCACAGAAGCTGGTTCATTTTGAGAAATATCCTATATGATAGATCAAGTCAGCCAGGATTGATTCTTCAATGCATTAAATACAGATTTGTTTGGAACTTACTTTGTTTGGAACTTACCACAGTATGGTACATATTGTGGTACAGGGCCTTCGGTTCGGTCCGTTTCATTTCAGTATGTGAAAACTTACTTCAGGGAAAATAGTGGCTGTCTAGCAAAGAAATACATAGATTTTGACAAAATGATTCCATTTCTGGACATTTTGGAAAAGGTTTAAAACTGTTAATAAAATGACGCTACGAAAACCGAAAATACAGAATTTTGGGCAAAATACCACAGTTCTACTAATACCGCGGTATACCGTTTCACCCCCAGTTAATTATTTTGATCTTCTAATCATCCCTTCTATGGATAATTTTATTATTAATTAGAGGCAGTGTCTGTGGAGATATTGTTATTGTCAACAATTTTCATCATGGATTAAACTCCACTTTCTGTTTATACACTGTAACATCTACACTAATACCATTAACTTGATATGAATACTGTATCCTTTCAGAGAGATGTGTGTATATTTAACCTTAACAAAGTATACATTCTACCTCTATTTTATCGCAGACAAGGATTTGTAAGTGTGAGTTGTCTCAATTATTAATTGTATTTTGAGTTATAAAACAGTCTAGCAATGCCTTGTACATGTTTAGTCAGGTGGTTTCCAATGTAGAGTAGTAGGAGCACACTCCGGCACAGCGATGACTAACATAACATCACTGCCACAGGCTAATTAGCATATCACGTGACCGACTTTTCTCTTGTTTGTAAACAAACGCGCATATTCATAATAAGAAGAGACTGGACTCACGAAATCTTTTCGGCGCTCTCCTTCATCTTGTTTTACATTGTTACATATACATTCTTCCACAACTGCGACAATAAGGTCTATGACAGTACATATTTAGATATCAAACTGGCTGCATCGTTTGCTCTCCATCAGCTTCGATGACAGCACGTGGAGCCATACAACCTATGTAAACAAAGAATCGCTACGCAAATCGAAATAGTGTTACATGTTTTTGGATATTTTCTCAGTGAAACTAAACCATTCTATTAAAGATGTTTAGTTAGATGTGTAGACTCGTCAAAAATAAAAGAGTAAAAGAAATCTGTACATTATATTGAATGGACATTGCAAGATGTGACGAATCGTCACATTTTTCTGGCCTGTGGCAGAGGTACTATGCTGGCTTGCCGCATGGAACTCTGGGTAGGAGAGTGTAGTAGGAGTTGATTCTGTGTAGATATGGATTGATGAATCAATGCCTAAAGATGACCCATGATGATCCGGGTTAGAATTGATCTTAAGTAACCCATGTTTGTCATATAGCTGACTAATGGGATCGGGTGGTCAGGCATGCTGACACATGTTATCGTATCCCAATTGAGTAGATTGATGCTCATGATGTTGATCACTGGATTGCCTGGTCCAGATTTGATTATTTAAAAAATCGCTGCCATATAGCTGGAATATTGCTGAGTGCTGTGTTAAAGAACAAACCAACCAACCAAACCAACCTGAAGATATCCATTAAGCCACAGTTAAGATACATGTTCCCACCACAGAGAGTGATCTTAGCAGTATGGTTATCAAAGGTCTGTGTTAAATAACAGTAAATATGAATCATGTTAGCATCGAGATTACTTTGTGGAACGGCCAGCTGTAGAACATAAGTATCAAGTATATGATGGAACTCCCAGTCTGCACAGAATTTCAGCATGGAGCAAACTAGATATATATGCTTTCATTATGGTAATTACTTGTATACAAACAGTCTATCTGTCACTGCTTCAGATTTATATACCCAGACTCTGTGTATCAAAGACACTTGATATTTCTGTCTTGCAGGTATAGTTTGCTGCTCACAGTTTAAAATTTGTTTTATACTCACATATCAATGAAATCTCCTTCCCTGGAACCTCCTCAATGTCTGTTTATAAACATTTTCCTCTTTGACATAGTTGTAGAAAGATTATGTGATGATAGGTATAATATGCTGGTGTTGGCCTCTTGTAGAATTCAAAAACATTGGCTAGAAAAGAGTTCATGATGGCATTTTTCCAAGATCTTGAAATTTCTGGTCACATTTTGTAATGTTAACAGATTAGTTGACACTATCAGCAATGAAGCTCATTGAGGGACCAGTTCAGAAGTTTTATGTCAGATAAACAGCTCAATTCCTTAGTTTTGAGATAAGGAGATAGCCCTACAACTTTTTCTGTTTGACAAAATCGACTCCAATTTCTGTTATGTAGTAACTGAACTAAACAGATAATATTTTCCTGCATGTGCAGTTATCATTAAATACATCCAGTTGTTATACAAGGCAGGTAACATTGCCAGTTATAGTGGTAAGTCCATCTGGTGCTGTATATAATAAAAAATGGCAGCTTTGATAAATTAACAAGCAATAAATAATTTTCAAACTCAATAAAAATACTTTTGTCAATAAATATTCTAAAATGTAAGAGATAATGCTAAAGGATGTGTGACAAGAGGCCACTAAACTGGAGTTCGAAAGTTTGAGAATTAGGTTTTTGTGGGATGGAGGGGTACTAAAGAATATAATGAATGACGTCCAGTATCCGACATCAAACTTTTGAGCTTGTCCCTATAAAACCATCATAGACTTAAATTATGAATTTAGTTAAATGAGAATTTTGTATAACATTAATTTCCATGATCATATCATATATGGGTTTAGCATCAGTGTCCATATGAGAGATGACCTCTTCCACTACTATACTAGAAAGGGGCACAAGAAAACAACGACAGCAAGTCTTTCATTACTGAAGAGGCTCACACAACATCATATATGATTAAAGAGTAGTAAGGACTAAATTGTGAGTTAGCGTACTTACAAATATCAAGAGAATTATTTGACACGAGAGACTCATGTTTCTTGTGGCTATCTTCAACCAACCATGAAGAATCCAATATTGTTTATGTCTTACAGGTAACAACATACAGGCTTCTACCTGCTCTGTGTTTTCAAAGTCCTAATTCAAACTCCGGTTGCTTGTTTGTTTATGTAAAGTGCATAATGACCATCAGCATAAACAACATTTTATGTGTTATGTGAACGAGTGGTTGTTTTCATGGTGAATCTTTGCTTCAAAGGAATTCATACATAACCTACCTGAGTTTCATAGCAGGTTCCTTCACACAGGATGTGTTTTCACAAGCATTTTCTTTTCTGAACCTTTCAGTACGTAGTAGAATAGCCTTGGAAGAGGCATAATGTTCATAACAGTTACCAAACGCACAGAACTTTTCAACAAGTATTTTTATTCTAAGTGACTTATATTTTGACTACAGTGTTAGATTGGTGTAGATGTGTAGAGGTAGAGATTTACATAATTGTTTTTTTGAAAAGTTAATTTGTCAGCAATGATTTGGTGAGTGAGATTGGTTTTACGTCACTTTTAGCAATAGTGACGCAGTACCATGGCAAGGGACACCAGAAGCAATCTTCAGAAATTTATCCATGTGGGGAATCGAACCTGGACCTTTGGCGTGATGAGCAAATGCTGACCCTTCGCAGATTTTTGACTGTTAGTTTTCTTCAATGAAGTATGTTTTTACATGTGTAGCTGTAGTGAACCTTTACTAAATATTTTGTTTAAAAAGATGATGCAATTTTATTATTTTTCTTTGCTATGTGTTGGATGTTATGATATTTCAATCTGACTGTTAAGTATTGAATCCACATAAATATATCGTTCTCAGTGGTGAGAATAGTAGCCATCAGCATCTGAACCATGTGTGTCATACAACTTTGTATGTCGGTGAAATCTATTCCTGCTTGCATTTTACATATATACATGTATAACAAAAGAAAATATGCATGGTACACACAATTATTTTCATTTATGAAAGAGAGGTTGTATTTTTCATATGGTTTTAGGATCACATATTATTCATGCATTTTAGTAGGCACAGGTGAGTATGTCACAGACTCTTGCTGTTCAGAAGGCTGGTTATCTGGCTTTAGGTGCAGTGGTTGTCTGGCTGGGTGCACAGGTTCTCTGGACTTAGTGCTTGGTTTATCTGACCTTCGGGCAAGGGTTGTCTGGTCTGGGGTGCATAGGTTCTTTGACCAGTGGTTCAAGGATTCTGTCTTGTGGAAGTCAATGGCTCTCTCAGGACTG